CTTTCTAATTTATCCAAAAGTATTGAGATACATTCTTTCTGCATTTTACCTGTGAAATTTCCCTTCTTTAAATCTTAAAAAAAAAAAAGTTATAACTCTGTAGCCCAGACTACCCTAGAATTTCCCATCCTCCTGCCTCGGCCTCCCAAGTGTTCCTTCAAATTTTTGTTAGTGGTGGTGGTGGTGGTGGTGGTGGTTGTGGGGCTTGAACTCAGCCTGGGTACTGTCCCTGAGATCTTCAGCTCAAGGTGAGCACTCTACCACTTGAGCCACAGCACCACTTCTAGTTGTCTGGTGCCTAATTAGAGATTAGAGTCTCACGGACTTTCCTGCCCAGGTTGGCTTTGAACTTCAATCTTTAGATCTTAGACTTCTGAGTAGCTAAGGTTACAGGTGAGCCACCGCTGCCCAGCATAAATCGTAACAATATTTTTATTCCTAAATTAGATAAAATCCAATTTTGGTATATTGGTCATAAGATTGCTCACCATGAAATAATTGAAAATCTTATAAAATAGAAATGAATGCACAGGAAAAAATGGTGCTTATTTTTAAAAGGAACAAAATTTTATAGCCTTCATTGTATTGTTATACAAAAATTACATTTGTATTTAAAGTAAGTATACTTGTTAAAATAAACTAGGGCTGGGAATGTGGCTTAGTGGTAGACTGCTTGCCTTGAATGCATAAAGCCCTGGGTTCAATTCCTCAGCACCACATAAACAGAAAAAGCTGAAAGTGGCACTATGGCTCAAGTGGTAGAGTGCTAGCCTTGAGCAAAAGAGGCTCAGGGACAGTGCTCAGGCCCTGAGTTCAAGCCCAGGACTGGAAAAAAGAAAAAAAATAAATATACAGTGTCTTTTGCCAAAATGCTTTGGACCTGAAGTATTTCATATTTTTATTTTTTTATCCCATTTTGGAAGATTTGCGTGGACTTTACAGGTTATACATCCATAATCCAAAAATGTGAGTTTCAAAATACTCCAAAATCAGAAACTTTCTGAGCACTAGTTCAGAGTTTGGACTTTTGGGGTGTTCAATCTGTACTTATCATTTTCTTTTAGTAGAATTGGTAATAAATATAAATATTATACAATGATGTCATCATTTTAGTTTCTGTTAAAGAAAACAAAGGAAGAGTTAGTATTAAGTCTCATCTTGTTTTTTCCTTTCTTCATGTTTTAGAAAAAAAGCTTATCATAGAATATCTTTTTAATTTCTAATTTAAAATTTCACCTTTAACAATACCTAGTAATCTGATAGTTTTACATGTGTTATATAAGCATAGGTTGTTTAATACATCCTAGCATTAAAATCTTTTTGCATATCCTGACTTTGCTAGCTGCTGGGTATTAGCTTAATAATCAGGTTACTTAGAGATTGATAGATCCAGAGAATGAAGTGGGTAATAAGTGGGTAAATGTACATATGTTTAACTCAGATAAAGCTGGTTTAAGTCTTCTAGCTTACTGACTGTGAGGTCTTACTCATTGCTGCTTCTGTTAACTTTCTACCGCATAAAACCTTTCCTTTCCAAATCCAAACCCTATTCTCTTTTCAAAGCTCACTCGCCTCCTACTTCTTCCATTATTCTCTAACCATCTAACATGTAGAAATCATCTCCTTTTCTGGACTATTAAATCTTTTAATCATTGATTTCATTCTATATATGACTCTTTTAGCAGAAAACTGGAGGGAGGATTTGTGTGTACTTATTTTCTAGACCCTCATTTTTATAGCTATAGGTAGTTGATATTTTCCCATTTTTACATTAAAATTTAAATTCCCAAAAATCTTGGGCCTAAATCTATCCCTGTTCTCCAAAGGCATGTTGGAAGAGACGTAGTATACTTTTTAACAGATAGGGAAACAAACTTTAAAACTCTTTTGTCAAGCTGAGGGCACAGATAGCTTACAGAGGCTCATGCCTATAACCCTAGCTACTCAAGAGGCTGAAATCTAAGGATCAGTGTTTGAAACCAGCTGGGGCAGGAAGTCCATAAGAGTTTTACCCTCCAATTAACAACCAGAGAGCCAGAAATGGAGCAGTGGCTCAAATGGTATAGCACTAGCCTTGAACACAAAAGCTCAGGGACAGCACCTAGGACCTGAGGTCAAGTTCAAGGACCAGCACACACACACAAAAAAAAAAATTGGTTCTCTTGCCAGGCAAGGTGGGACATGCCTGAAATCTCAGCTGAAGAGCTGAGGGACAGTGCCCAGGCCCAGAGTACAGGCCCCACGACCGGACCCAAAAAAAAAAAAAAACAAAAACCTGAGGCAGTCTTCAATAATTTATATTGGAAAAAATAGGTATCTATATGCAGAAAACTAAAAGTGAATCCTGTTTGTCATTATGCACTTTGAAGTAGATCAAAGATTTCAACATGAAACCTGAAATTTTGAAATTACTACAAGGAATACAAGAAACACTAAAACTCGTAGGCATAGGCAGAAACTTTATGAAAAAGATTCCCAGGGGCACAGTAGATAGGAGAGAGACTTGACAAATGAGATTACATTAAAAAAAAGTTTCTGCATAGGGAAGGACATAATTACTAAATTAGAAAGGCAGCCAACTGACTGGGACATCTTTACCAGCAGTAAGTCCAACAAAGGCTTAACATCCAAAACAAGGCTAATAAACCAATCACTAAGTGGGCAAAGGAACTGAGGAGAGTCTTCTCAAAAGAAGATGTAAGAATGGCAAAGAAACACATGAGGAAATGCTCAACATCCCTGGAAATGCAAACCAAACTCTGAGATTCTATCTCACCCCAATTAGATTGGCCAAAATCATGAATTCGAACAACAATAAATGTTGGCAGGGATGAGAGGAAAAAGGAACCTAATTGCACTGTTGATGGGAATGTAAACTAGTGCAACCCTCTGGACAGCAGTCTGGAGGTTCCTCAAAAAACTAAACATAGATCTTCCCTATCACCCAGCCATACCATTCCTGGGTATCTACACAGCACATCACCAGCCAGGATACCATAAAGACACTTGCACATCCATGTTCATTACTGCACTATTCACAATAGCCAAGTTATAGAAATGGCCCAGATGCCATACAATAGATAAGTGGATCCAAATATTATGGTACCTATTTACAATGGAATTTTACACATCCATTAGAGTATTACATCACTTTCAGGGAAATGGATGTACCTAGAACAGATCGTGTTAAGTGAGGTAAGCCAAACTTAAAGAGACAAATGGCACATGTTTTCTCTTATATTCAAAGCTAGATCTAAAATACATGGGACATGATAAATTCTACATGTTTCTAGGCATTCACACACAGTGAGAGCAAAGAAGTAAGAGGAACGCAATGAAACAGTGCCTATGTGCATCTGATCATACAAAATAATATTTACTGAAATGAACTCTAGGAAATGGAAACTAGGTTTTTCTTCTTCATTGCTGTTTTTCTTTTTGTCCTGTTTGTTCATTTATATATCTTTGGGAGTGTAAAAGGAGGCACAGAAATGGAGTAACAAAGGGTAAATAAGTGCAGCAGTGGTACTCTGGACATTATGTTGAAAGTGAACTACACAACTTGTGGGTAGAGATGGGAGGGAAAAACTGGGAGAAAACAAGGGAAAGGGTGACATTGTCCAAAAAGAAACATATTCTTTACCTGACTTGTGTAACTGTAACCACTCTGTATATCACTTTTATAATAACATATATATATATATATATATATATATATACACATATGTGTATATATACATATTGGCATGAACTCCAGGAATGGAAACAAGGTTTTTTTCTTTTTTTTTTTGGTCCGGTCGTGGGGCCTGAACTCTTGGCCTGGGTGCTGTCCCTCAGCTCTACAGCTCAAGGCTAGCGCTCTACCTCTTGAGCCACAGTGCCACTTCCAGCTTTTTTTTCTGCTTATGTGGTGCTGAGGAATCGAACCCAGGGCCTTAAGCATGCAAGGCGAGTGCTCTACCACTGAGCCAACTTCCCAGCCCCCAAGGTTTTTTTTCTTTAAAAAAAAAAAACCAAAAAAAAAGAGCTGGGCACTGATGGCTCATGCCTGTAATCCTAGCTACTCAGGAGGCTGAGATCTGAGGATTGCACTTCAAAGCCAGCCTGGGCAGGAAAGTCTGTGAGACTCTTATTTCCAAGAAACCACAAAAAAACTAGAAGTGGCACTATGGCTCAAGTGGTACTCACCTTGAGCTGAAGAGCTGAGGGACAGTGCCCAAGCCCACAGTTCAAGCCCCATGACACACACACACACACGCGCGCGCGCGCACATGCGCACGCACACACGCATACACACACATACACACTCACTCACTCTGTTGGGGGAAGGCTATTTGTTTTGTTTGGGTAGTACTGGAATTTTAACTCCCGGCTGTCAGCTTGGTCTATTACTTGGGGATCCTTTTTCTTTACTTTTCAGATAGGGCCTCCTATGCTTTGCCTCAGCTAGCCTGGACATAATCCTCCTACTTATGCCTCTCATGTGGCTAGAATTCAGGCATGTATCTCCATGGATTTTGTTCTTTTTAAGATGGATCTCATTTACCTATAGCTGAGACTGGCCTTGCCCCCACAATCTTCCTGATTTTTGCCAACAAGTAGCTATGAATACAAGCATACACCATCATGCCTGTCTACAGAAAATCTCTTTTTGTTTTATATTTACATATCTTAGATATCAATATTTACAGATACTTCTCTTTTTTTCTATGTAAAGCCTATACCTCTTCCTGTAAGATCATTTTAATCCAAGTGATCTTGTGTGGTACAACAGTAAATTGAAAAGGAATAAAAGCAGGCAGACTGTGATAATTCTTTCACTCTGGGAAAGAACTACATCTCAAGAGTGAAATGCTGTGCAGTAAAATTATTGAGTAAGATTCTAGAACTAGGGCATTTTACTGCATGTGTAGGCATTGTCATCTGCATGTTTTCATCAGAGCCTACAGACTTGGGCTAAAATGTACTGCTGCTGAGTGTATGCCCTATCTTTTCTGCAGTTGGTGAACAGACAGTTGTAAGGAGCTTTCCCATTGCCTCCATCACCAAGGAAAAGAAGATCACAATGCAGAACCAGCTACAGCAGAATATGCAAGAAGGACTACAGATTACTTCAGCATCTTTTCAGGTATTAGTTGAGTACCCCTTCTCTGAAATGCTTAGAACTAAAACGTTACAGATTTCAAAATACTATTAAATAACATCTACTACTTTAAAATATTTTAATCTAAATCACTCTGAAATGGAAAATTTCTTCAGCACTGGGTTTCTGCTTTAGTTTTTTGGATTAGGGCCCATGAATCGTTTGGGATCTAATCCTTCATTTCAGGAGTCCCTTACAAACTTGAGTACTAACAGGTTGGCATTATTTAGTATTCTTACAACCTCATACACACACTAGCTCTTTTTCTCTGCCATGCTGTACCTCAGTTCCTGCTTAATGAAGACTTTAGATAAAAGACAAATTTTGGGGGGCTGGGAAGGTGGCTCAGTGGTGGAGTGCTTGCCTTGCATGCCTGAGGCCCTGGGTTCGATTCCTCAGCACCGCATAAACAAAAAGAAAAAAGCCCAAAGTGGCACTGTGGCTCAAGTGGTAGAGCGCTAGCCTTGAGCTGAAGAGCTGAGGGACAGCGCCCAGGCCCAGAGTTCAGATTTTCGTATTCTGTATTCTCTGTCTCTGACTTCCTGAATTTCCAAGGATTCCAATTCTAGTATTGTTCCTTTTAGTCAGAAACCTTGCCTTGTAGTAGTTAGCATTTGCTAACACTGTATAAAATGTCACTTGGAAACACTGACTACCTAAGGATCTCCTTATTGTTGCAACTACCAAGAATTCTACACTCAAATATTGCCAGACTGTACTGGTAAGGAGTATAGTGAAGTTGAATTTTTTCTTCTTAGATTTGTTGAATCTCTGCATAAGAAGGGATCTTATTAGATTGCTCTCTAGGAGCATCTCTTAAGAACTATAAATGACATGTTGGCTATTACAGCTACTACAAGTTATCCCAGTGTAAATAATCCTGAAGAAATCCAACTTCATGAAGGTATTTTCTTTGCTAACCATCTATTTCAAGTAAACTTTTCAGAGCTTTTTTTTACCTAAAAAAATTTAGTTTTTCTTGGTATCCAAAGTCTCTGCAACCTCCAAAATCTTACTATTTAATTTGTTACTTTCTGGGGATTTTTCTAATTATTTATGGGACAGTTGTCTAGAAATTCTTAATGCTTCTGATGTCTTTAATTTCTTTTGTCTCTAGTTGATTAAAGTAGCATTTGATGAAGAAGTCAGCCCAGAAGTAGTAGAGATCTTTAAGAAACAGTTAATGAAGTTCCGTTATCCTCAGTCCATTTTCAGTACCTTCGCTTTTGCTGCTGGACAAACTACCCCACAAATAATTTTACCCAAACAGAAGGAAAAAAACACTTCCTTCCGGTAAGAAAACAAAAAGATAAGTCTGTTCATTTCAGCCCTCTCATAACTGATTGTCAGAGGAAGTAATCTATCCTTTGTGTCAAGGTATAAATTATTATTCTTTTTATATACTATTCTGTCTGATTGGCTCAAGTTCATAAAGTTATGGAAGATAAGTGAAACAAGATGCAAAATCTAAGAAGTTTTGACTATCATGTCCACTGCTCATGATACATTTTTAAAATGTGAAATTCTGTTTTCACACTTTTACAATCCCTTCTACTTTTATCAGATCCAGGCCAAGGAAAAATTTGCTTTGACCTTAAGACAGAAGTCATTACTTTGGGTTTTGTTGTTGAAGTTTGGTGGTTTGTTTTTGTTTGGTAACCTTGTTTTAAATAATTTCAGACTGGGTCTGGGAATGTGGCTTAGTGATAGAGTGCTTGCCTAGCATGCATGAAGCCCTGGGTTCAATTTCTCAGTACCACATAAACAGAAAAAGCCAGAAGTGGCGCTGTGGTTCAAGTGGTAGAGTACTAGCCTTGAGCAAACGAAACTCAGGGACTGTGCCCTGAGTTCAAACCCCAAGACTGGCAAGTAAATAAATAAATAAATAAATAAATAGTTTCAGCCTGAAAACAAATCTACAACAGTAATCCAAAGGATTCCTGTATATCCTTTACCCAGCTTAATCAGTGTGAGTGTATACATACATGCATATAAAACATACATTTATATGTATATTATACACAAAGTTAATAAAAATATGGGCATAAAGCACTTATCTGACTCAGAAACTATATTTAATTTGCTAAGAACTCCTTATAGGTCTTTTTTTTTTCTGATCCAGAATCAATTCAGGATCAAGCCTTGTAATTAATGATTGGATGAACTCTTACTTTTTTTTAAATGATTTTTGGAAACGTTTGAAACTTTTAATACTTAATAATTTTTTCCATCAGAGGTAAACTGCAGAAGCTGCCATTCCTGTTCATTCACCATTAATCAACTAGAATGTGAGCATCCACCAGTACAAATTACGTATTAGAAAGAGCTATGCAGACTCTGCCTAAAAGTGAAGTAGTTTCAAGATTATAGAAGATTTGAGGTTCTAGACAATTGTCATTTCTCAACTGCATCCATGGCTAACCCCTAATATTACTTGGTTAACAAAGAGAAAATGAATATCGAGATATGATATGCTAAGGCTGTAACAACTTATTAGGGATTTATAACAGTAAACTAAGCACTCAGCACTGTAGGGTCACAGAGACGCCCTCAATAAAACTTGATACTGTTTTTAGATTTAGAATTTCTCAGAAATATATATTTCTCATTTCAGAAATATATCTATTGTATCAACTACAAGAAAAGAAAGCAACTATAGTTTGTTTGTGCCAGTCCTTCCTAAGGCTTGAGCACAGGGTCTGAGTGCTATTCTTGAGCTTTTATGCTCAAGGCTAGTGCTCTACCACTTGAGTTCCACTTCTGGCTATTTGGTGGTTAATTGGAGATGAGTCTCACAGACTTTGCTACCCTGGCTGGCTTCAAACCTCCATTCTCAGATCTTAGTCTAAGTAGCTAGGATTACAGATATGAGCCACTGGTGCACAGCTGCAGTTTTAAGCTTTTAAAAATTGTGTGTGAAACAAAGACTATGGCTATATCTGAGGGGGAGAAAAGTTTTAAAAAATACTGAGTTTAAGTTATACTCGAAGTGATATACAGGTTTATTTTAGGAAATATTTGTATTTTATGTCTTGTAACAGCTAGCCAAAACATGTTAAAACCTTCATGTTTACATTGTAGATGACTAAGACTGATCTATGAGACAATAAAAGAATCCTTACCACTTTTTCCAGAGAGGCAAGAAGCATAAAAAGAATTCCATTTGTTGTGTTAGAGAGGAGCATAATCAATATCATATTTAGTTTTCACCTGTATTATAACCAAAGATCTGTATAATGCAGTGCAGATGAGGGAGAAGGAAAAAAATTGAGCCAGATAAATGTCAAAAATATTGGTGGCACCTTCATATTAAATTGACGTTCTGTCTTGTTTTGTGACATGTAGAACCTTCTCAAAAACAATTGTGAAAGGTGCCAAAAGGGCAGGGAAAATGACTATTGGGCGTCAGTATTTACTGAAGAAGAGGACAGGAACAATTGTAGAAGAAAGAGTAAATCGTCCTGGATGGAATGAAGATGATGACGTATCTGGTATGTGAGAAATTATTTTTCATGAATTAATATTTTTTCTTATATGAATAGAAAGAAGCTGAAAATATAATTGTATTTAAAACATGAAGCAGAAAACCTCATGAAAAGACTGTTCTCTTTTGAACTTGAAAAAATTATTTTCAAAAAGAAAAAAGCTAGGAGTTTTTTTAAAAAATACCTGATTATATTACACCATTTAATTTACAAGTTGCAATACGATGATTTGTATATAGGGATAAGCTCTTGGTTTTCAGCTTTTTTATTTTTAATTTTAATGGAAAAGAGACACATCTTTCCCTTACATATTAGTACTTTTGAGTTCATTTCCAAAAACTTTGGAAGTTTAATTTGACTTTTTTCACATTATAAAAGAAACCAGGTGCCAATGGCTCACACCTGTAATCCTAGCTACTCAGGAGGCTGACATTTGAGAATCACTGTTCAGAGCCAGCTTAGAGAGGACAGTCTGTGAAACTCTCATCTCTAGGTATAACACCAGAGAGCCAGAAGTGGAGCTATGGCTCAAGTGATAGAGCACTAGCCTTAAGCAAAGAAAATCAGGGACAATGCCCAGTTCCTGAATTCAAGTTTCAGGACCATCACAGTCAGGGAAGGGAAGAAAGAGGAAAGGGAATTTTTTTTAATTTCTTAACTTCAAAAGGTTGTACAAGAAGGATATAATTTAACATATCCATCTAAATGTCAAGGAAAAGAGAGGAGGGAAAGAGGAGAGGACAGGTTGTTGGGGGAGGGGTGTTGTTTTTTAAATTTTAACTTAAAAAGGTTATAAGAGTGAGGAGCCAGTGCCTCACACCTGTAATCCTAGCTATACAAGAGGCTGAGGTCTGAGGATCACAGTTCAGAGCCAACCTGGGCAGAAAAGTCTATTGAGACTCTTATCTCCAATAAACTACTCAAAAAAAGCTGGAAGTGGTGCTATGGCTCAAGTGGTAGAACACTAGCCTTGAGTATAGAGAGGTTCAGGGACAGCACCCAAGCCCTGAGTTCAAACCCCAGGACAAAAAACAAGTTGAACAAAGGGGTTACAATTTAACATGTCCATTTAAATGTCTGGTACTCCTTAATCATTTCTCCCCATCCCATATGTTCCTACCCTGACGTCATTTAAGACAGTTTTTAATAGGGATGTTTTTGTTGTTACTTAGAACATGCAGTATTATTTAGGAATGCCTTTTTTCTTTTAAAACATCCCTAAAATGCATGATTGAGTAAATACTCCCATGTCTAAAATCTTATAGGAATTGGTAAAGTGATTAGAAAATAGTGAGAGAGTTTTTCATATACATCACATCCTCCAATGAAAATACTTCTAGAAATAAAGTATAACTTTCTGCTATTCTAAGGAGAGGGGAGGTCTTTTTTCCCTCTGATGAGTTTTTGGTTAGTCTAGAAATTTCTTTGTTTTTGGTTTTGGTTTTTTGGTGGTTTTTTTTGG